ATAGTGTAAAAAAGATTATAAAGAGAATGTTTGCCTTCTTAAGGAAATAAATTATTTTCAAGCATATCAGGAACACTAATTTGCATATAAACAATGCAAATCTTATATGGAGGAGAGAAGGCTTTTTTCTTACTCAACATTTATGAAGTGATAGAGTTGCATTCATTTGAAATATTCTATGCTTTTGAATATTTGGTTTCTTGAATGTTCACAATATTTGATTGTTCTTTGAATTAGCCTGAATTTTCTTATATTATTTCTTCATTCAATGGTTATGGCACACAGGATTTGTTTTCCTCAGAAGGAATTGAGTAAATTCATCTTATATTATGCATATGTTAGAGATGTTGGCTGAACTCCATCCCACTTCCAGTTACCTTGGATTGGCATAGGACTCCCAGCAAAGTTTTTAATAGTCTGTTGGAATTCAAAGCCCCGCCTATGTTTGTAACTACCAATGTCTTATGGTCTTCCTGCATCTTTCTCTCCTATAACTTTGAATGTTTCCCTCCCTCTTATCAGTCAGACTACATAGACTTCCACTAATTATTAACATTTTGCAAGTATCTTATTTATTTAGACTATTATCAAAGATTTGGACATCATTGAGCAATAACATCATGCACACAATAAAGCCTTTTTTCTGGTTCTACTCTCTCCATGCCTCACCCCCTGCTCCCACATCCTCTTTCTCTTCTCCCCTTTCTCTTCTCCCTACCCCCAATTCTCCTGCCCACTCATCCTTATCAGACTGTTCAGCAACATATTTGTGGAAAATGTCTGGGGACATAACCCCTCTTTTATCTAACAAGTCTGGCCATATCGTTGCCTATAAGCCATTGTCCACAATTTCATTTTTCATGTCACTGTAAACTTGCTCCCTGGCTATCAGTCATCCCTGTCTTAGGCACAACAGTTTACTGGGTATCACTTCCTGTAGCTCGGGTATATCCTTGAAGTTTTGTTCTCTACTTCTAAGTGGCTGTTCAAAAAAAAAAAAATTAAAATATATTTTAAATGTTGGGCCAGAGTTCAGGAAAGGATATCATAAGGAAGTATAATTTCACTAAGCTGGATGTGTAAAGCTGGGCAAGTAAAGCATTGGGGGATGAGTTTTAGACACAAGGAAGAGCCTCTCAAACCATAAAAGCATGTGGGAGCAGGGCAAAACCTCAAGTAATTCTGTGATGGAGCTTAGAGTGCTTAAGGGGGTGGGGGGATGTGACAAGTCCTGGCCATATCATTGCCTATAAGCCATGGTCCACAATATAATTTCTCATGTCACTGTAAACTTGTTCCCTGGCTATCAGAAATGAGACTTGATAATGGCTGAGGATGTTCTGCTTTGCTTTTTAATTGGTGTATCACAGTATAAATTTAATTGGTGTATCACAGTATAAATTTAGCATGGGACAAATGAATCAGTAGATTTTTCTCTAGTCACCACCTTCAGACATGCTTGGTCAGATGCTTTATCCACCCCCCCTCCCATACCTTGGTAATATTTCAAAAAGACTGAATACATTTCAGGTCATTTTTATTTTATATTTAATTCTAATGTATACACCCAGTGTTTCAGTAGTTAATGTAACTATTGGGTTTACTCAGATTTTTTAAATTTATTTTCAAGTACAGTTGACATTTAGTAGTATTTTATATTCATTTCATGAGTATAGCATAGTGGTCAGACATTTATATAATTTATGAAATGATCCCCCAGTTTAGTACCCACATCGCACCATACATAGTTATTACTATATTATTGATTATATTCCCTATGCTGTACTTTACATTCCCCAAACTATTTTTAATACAAATTTGTACTTCTTAATCTCTTCACTTTAAAAAAATGTCTGGTAATTTTTAATGGTGAGAAAAGCTTAGTTGTAGTACCGTGTTTCCCTGAAAAATAAGACATCCTCTGAAAATAAGACCTACTTATAGGTTTCCTTCTGAGTGAAATATAAGGCATCCCCCGAAAATAAGCCCCCCCTCAGGCTAAACATGAGAGATTTGGTCCACTGATTCTGAAAGAAATGGAGTCACAAGAGATTCACCAGGAAATTCAGGAATTGGATTGTTATGATGATGTTCCAGAAGAAGATGACATGATTGTCATTGAATAAATGAGTAAATTCTTGATACTGTAGGATTCACAGTTTATCTGGTTTGTGTTGACAACTACCGTACTATCATACCGTATACAGGTAATAAATTTCCTTTATTTTCATTTAACAATAAATGTGTACCGTATTCTTCTTCATGGAAAAATAAGACATCCCCTGAAAATAAGAGCTAGCGCATCTTTGGGAGCAAAAATTAATATAAGACACTGTCTTATTTTCAGGGAAACAGGGTATTTAACACTCCTTTTTAGGTATTAAGAAGTTCTTACCAATCTACACAAGACTACTATCTGATACACAGTTTATAGCATCTCCTCTCCCTGAACCTTCTAAGTCAGAATGGGGGAAGACTAGTAAAGAGAGAAGCCTTTTCATTTAACTGGTCCTGCAATTGTGATTCTCATTTGGGTTGGAGTCCTGAAATGCAATACATGTCTTGCAAGGCCTTCACATCCCTCTGTATGGCAGGAGCCCTTTGGGCTAGAACTCACAAAGTTAGACATGAAAACTTTTTACAGTTCTCTGACATGGAAACTTCTTTTCGAAGGTGGAGGTAGAGGTACCCATCCAAATTGTTCTAGGGTTTTCTCACTGCACTCCAAGACCCCGAGAAAAGTCCCTCATAATTTTGTTACTTTTTTTAAAAAGTGAAACAGAGGGTATGTTTTCCAGATATGTGTTGAAAATAAGGGGGAGTTAGAGGCTGGGTAGAACTGGACAAAGGTGGGGAAAATGGGGACATCTGTAATAGTGTCAACAATAAAAATGAATCTAAAAAAAGAAAAAGAAAATAAAGTGAGCTCTATGAGTGTACATGGTATGTGTACAATTAAATGGAAATTATCTCTTCAACTCAAATCAAATTTAAAGCACTCTGAAAACAAAGACTATTTTCACCAAAGATGAAAACTATATAATAAATTTTTTTCCTATGCCTTTCTTCAATTTTCTATTTAAAGAAATTTCTAAAAATACATGAATTACGCAGCTTATCTTTCAGATGAAAAAGAAGTTTCTTCTTGGTTTGGGTGGCTCCATATTAATAGTAATAAAATTTTATGTTCTTTTGTGTCAAATAAGATACAAATTATAACATGAAGGAGGCTTTCCAGCAATATCAGAAATGGATGAATAATTATGAAAGCTACTTGGAATTGAAAGCATTTTAATTTGTTATTACTTCAATGTGTTCAGAAAGGACCTGGATAATTTTATTGATCATAAAAAAGGGTGTGATGTTCTTTCTCATTATGAAATTAAGTTCTTAATAGAACACTTGTACTGGAAGTTAAATAAACAACTCTCTTCTGGTTTCCTCTAAAGATGTCATTATGACTGAAGACTTCTCAGCCACGGATGTTGGTCTTCTTATTATTACATGGGGGTACTGCACTTCAAACTCATTTTAATCTGAAAAAAATATTTATCTTTTCAGGTTATAAAAATGAGATCATACTTGTTTGTCTAGTGAAAACTTCCCAACTTTATGTCACATGAATTCATGTGGCAACGACTATAGAATTTTCATAGGTCATGGTAGCAGGAACTGATTATGAGATTCTAAAATAGGAAGTTTTGTTGTATAATTATGTAAAAGTAGCTGTGATTACTAGGGTCATTCTGAGGCAAACTTTCAAAGCTAATTAAAAAATAATGTCTCTGTTTTCTTTTGGTCTACATTATACCAATAATATCCAAATTCTTATTTGCCTCTTAAGAATATTTTATTAAGACCTACTCTATTCAGCATGTGTGTTTTTTTATGTTTTGGAAAATAACATTTTAAGACATGCCATGTGCTTCCATGTTAGTGATAGAATTTTTCTTTGTCACTTATGAATTTTCATTTAGCAGCTTTACACTAAGATATTTAGATCTTAGTGATGAGGGAGGCATGTCTACACAGGGATTCTGATCTGCTCAAGAACATTTGCACCCTCCCTCCCCAGAATATTGCTTTAGGGTTAATAGTCAACTATTACAACATACTGTTTGACAGTCTTGATGCAGCCAGAGGACACCTCCAATATAATGAGGGAATCCCTGCACATATGTCAACAAGCTCTTTGCCTTCTGATTCTGATCTTTCCCAGAGTTCAGCTCTTATCCCTTAATAGCCCTATGACCTTGTGCCATTAACATAGTCAGTTTAAATCTCACTGTTTTCACCTTTAAAATGGGGAGAAATAATATCCATATAAAAGGCAGTGTGGGAATTAAATTAACATGTAAAATAAATGGGAAATTCTTGACATATAGTAGGCATGCAATCAATGGTAGTATCTGTTTACCATAAAGCAAAACAAAACTAACAAACCTTTAAAAATTAGTTATCAATTTGATTTATATAATACTTCTTGACAATAAAACCAGAAATATTTTTCTATTTACCTAACAGAGAAAATTCTTGATGAATAGAGAATGAAGTTTATAATAATTTGAAATCTAAATGCTACTAAGTTGCTCTCCCCTCCCAACAAGAGGTTTCTATAAATAGCAATACCTGAAATTTACAGATGGGTATATGCAATGTGTCATAAATAAACACTAAATTATTATTTTCATTTTAACTACTTTCAGAATGAAGTTAGTGTCTGGATTGACATTACAAAGATATATATATTTTTCTACACACATGGAGATGACATTAGTAATTGAGTTATTATGTACACAGATTATTTAGAACTTAAAGGATTTATATAAATTCAGCTTTATTTTTAATTTGATGGATAAAGTGACATGGGGGTAGGGGATAGAAAGGAAGGGAGGGAGAAAGAAAGTAAGGGAGAGAGGGAGAGAAGGAGAGAGAGAGAGAAGAGAGAGAAATATGTAATTAAGAAAGAAGGTAAGACTATGTTCTCTTCTGTTTTATAGCCTGAAGAATAAATAGTGAAAACATCAATCAAGATGAGAAAAAATATCAGGATTTCTCTGCCATGGAGAATTGCTTATCAACCACCAGAGGAGAAATCTTTCTTGAACAATGAACATTTCTTATGAGGATTCACAGATTAACATGTGACTATTCTCAGTTTTGGAAAGTAAATGAGCTTTATTTATTTATTTATTTTTAATTTTGTGGTAAGTTGTGATGTTTGGATGGATTTTTCAATTCTTTCTGGATAATATATTTAGCACATGTTCTAAATTATAATCCTATACCAAACAGTGAGCGCATCATTTAAACTTAAAGACAATGGAAAAATATAAATCTCCAGTTTATTCTAGATTTCTTTAACATATAAAATTATTCTATTAAATCCTGGATGATTGTTATGTAAAGCACCTCTATCAAGAAAGAAACACTATTTTTTCATCATGTGGAACATGACTGTGGCAACATGCCCTCAACAGGAAGGAATCACTGGTCCTTCTCATCTCACCTTACAAAGTGTGAACCAGCCTTGCATCTGAACAGCGAGAATGAAGAAGGTAAACAAAAGAAAAATCATCATCTCTGTTTTCTGATCACTAAAAAAAAAAAGTTTCTCAAGGTTAAGCCAAATCCTCTTTGCAAGCTGCCAAAATAATAGCTTAGGAAAAGAATTAGTTTGCCTGCATGATGATCCTCTTAGGCAAAAAATGTCTTCACAGCAGTTGACCTTGATGAAATGTTTTCCCAAAGGCATCCAAAAGAAGAATTATAAATCCCAGGACAGCAGAGAAGTAAATGAATATTTCTTATGAAGTTGGCCTGACTTATGGGCTTCGATGTGGGGTACTGTGATTTGGAAATAAGTGGGCAAATTCTGAAGAATGACAGCCTCGGATATAATGAGGTCCCCTATTCCTCTGTTTCTGAAGTGCTCTCACTGAGCCAAGATTCCATCACTTTGGGAAAAACACCAGTGGCCAGTATGACAGACTGGAACCCTGTTACTCTGCTGGGGAACAGAGTGTTTCTGAGTGCAAATCACAAGACTTGTTCTCCAGGTTCCATCTTCTCCATCAGACTGGATTTGGTGATCTGCAGGCTGATTGCAAAGTGGGGCTTTTAGCTTTATTCCTGAAACTTCTCAATGTCTGGCCGGGGCTGCCCTTTGTATGTTATGACCACAGGCGATTGATCTGCTGGTGTCAGGTTTTCTGTCACCTATTGTTTTTCCACAGAGAGCCAAGGCAGTTACAACTCAGTGAGCAATAAATGAAATGACTTAAAAACTGCACAGTGTCCTTAGTTGAGATTTGGCACCGTTTCCTGGAGGAGGACCCACTCAGGAGGGAACAAGGTAGCCAGTGTCCATGACTACAGAAAGAACAGCCACCCCAGCCACAGCTGCCCTGTTGGAAGGAAGGAGGGTTTGATGGGGGAACCTTCATTTTGCTGTTTTGGAAAGCACACAACCAAACTGCAAACCTCCTATGATGACTTCTGTTCAAATGTGTAAAATGAAGCTTTACTTGTCAACTCTGCTGTAACATAAGCAACTGTCCAAGTAAAAAAAAAAAAGAAAAAAAGTCTTTGTTTCTCTTTGTGTTTAGTGAGTGAGCTCATGCCCTCAGGTGTTTTTTGTTTTTGTTTTTGTTTTTAGTAACCCAATATACTGCAGACGAGTCTATGAACATAGATCTCGTTTGCTTTACAGAGAGTCTCTGCCAACCTTGATAAATCAGCTTCCAGATATAATAACCTGATTATTTCAGAATCCCTCATCTAAGTGCCATTGCTCCTTGGCAACCTGTCAAATGAAAGTGAATACCCTGCCAGAGACGAGACTTTGTTTGTTTTGAAATCTCCTTCCTTATTTTTGCCTGTACAGAGAAGAGAAGTTACCATTCCAGCAAACCATAGAGGTGACTTGCTCAGCTTTAAAGAGGAAGAGCCTGTGAATATTTTTATATTTTGGGCCCTCTTAAATGGAAACACCCTTGTGTGGGAAGCTAGCTGTTGTCGTCATTATTGTCCTTTTATCTTGTGGTGATTATATTTGTTTCATTAAGCAGTGTCTTGCATTTCACTTTCACTATGAACGAATGGGAGTGAGAGGTAAATGTTTTCAAAGAGCCAAATTAAAGCTGGCGCAGAGAGCGCCTTGCAGACCTGACTCTGTGGAGCTTCTCTGGCAGGGCCGACGAGTTTCAGCAGAGATTCCAGGAGAGACGAAGTCAGGTCCAAGGATTTCCTGTAAAAACCTCAATGCGGGAGAACTAGAGGTGAACCCAAATGTTCAATATTTAAAGTTCCAGAGTACATGTAAGAACGGCAACTACACTGACCCACTACTACGCATTCAAAATGAACCTAACACACAAACCTAACGGCATCCTTATAGTAATAGAGTAAAAATTTTTGTGTTTAAAGAAACCCTTGCTAAGTGGTTGAAATAGCCTATGTCTTCTTACAGAGATAATATACTCCTACAGTCCCGGTCATGCAATTCACTTAACTTTCTAACGAGTTCTCCTTCAAGCACAGAGGTGAGCTTCGGGTTAGCACTGATGCCAGTGGCCACACAGGCCATGGCTGTGAAACCCAAATTAATGAGTTTTCTTTATACGTAGTCTTCACAGCCAAGTGCACTAATAAATGTGATCATAAAGCAATCTGCTAAGTGGAGAGGACTGCAGTGATTCCTCCTGCAGATCAAAGTGGCAATAAAACCCTCATCTGCGATTGCTTGACTACAAAGACCAATAAGATTTGTTTTTCGTCTGCCTCTTACATGACATATAGACATAAATTGGAACTGCAAGAGTCTTAATACCTTTCTATTCAAGTAACTTTATTAGACTAATCAGACTAAGAGAAGAAAAATATGAAATAGATGAAAAAATGCAAATACGCCCATAGGGAAATTTGAGCCCTGGGGATTGAGGGAGGGCATACCTCCTGCAAAGCTGATCTTTTAAGTGAGGTATTTTTGGCAAGCCACTGTGAGCACAGCATATTAGAACATTTCTAAATTGTCGGGAAATAAAATAACCACCCTCTCTACATTCCATCCACACTAAATATCCATTGCTTGTTTAGCCAGCTTATACAAAAAAAAAAAAAAAAAAAAAAAAAAAAATTGATTGTTGTTCTTTTGTGAGAACAGATCACTTTTTCTGCTTCTTACCTAATTTATTCATACTAAAGTCATGCTAAACTACCTCATAGGTATGTGGTGTGGATGAGCTAAGTAATAAATGTCAAGTGCTATAAAAATGCTGTCTTTGTTTTCTAGTTGAAGATATGCATGTCAGATTAACTCCCTGAATATTTCATTGTAATATCCATGTTGATCAATTGGTTTTCAAGTTTAATATGCAAATATCTTAAGGTCAAATGAAATCCTGAGCATGGATTGAGAGGATCAAACCCAAGTGTAGTTTCTAAGGGAAAAAAAAGTACCTGGAGGCAATATGTTTCCTTAAGCAGATGTTAAAGGAGGTATCCTAAAAGGTGTGTCTGTTGGGAGTATATAGATTTGCATTGTAACAGTTAAAATGCCAAAAATTGGCTTTTGTGATTTATATTTGAAATCAATTAGAGTGGGTTTATAATATATATATATATATTCTAAATACCTTCAAGAGAAGTTTTACAGATGACTATCTACCTTGATTTTGCCTTGATTTGTGTCCTCCTATAATGATGTTGAACACTGTTGTGTGTGTGTGTGTGTTTAAGATATAGCCGAAGGAGAAAAGAATTAATGTCTAATAGTTCTTAGTAATGGCATATGAAGGCTCTATAACAACTAGCTAAAAAATAATTTTACTGCTGGCTCTACTTCTCTGTCATTTCCCCCCATATGATTAATTATTCCTTAGTCACTGTTCTGAACTGCATTTTTATTTGCTAATTTCAAATACCTCAACTTAATTAGCAATTTATTTTGACCTTTAAAATTCGCATTCCATAATCTTCAAATTATATGACTGAAGGGAAAAAGAGCTAATTTTACCTGCCCCTTCACCTTCAGCTATCATTACAGGTTACAGTCAAACTATTGTCGTGTCAAACTTTCACCTCAACTGTGGTTGTTTCCAGTCTAGGCTCAAGTTCCCTCATTCCATAGATGGTCAGTAGGATTAGCAAAGGCTGACTTAACTTCAGAAAGTTTGAGTAATGTACAATGTAGTACATTTGGCTGCTAAATTTATGCCAAAAAAAGTGAAATTGTTATACACAATATTGAATCCCCTCTTTTATTCTTGCTATTTTTGAGAACTCTCAGCACATTTTTACTTGAATTGTTACCCTTCAAATGATTAAAAGTTCTGAGTGTAAGACCACAAATGATGAGCAAGAAGTTTCCTTATGGTGGCAACTTGGTGACCATATGTTCTACTTTGAAAGCAATATCTTAGTGTATGTGCTCATATTTCTTGAAATTGTCTTCAGATGGTGGAGTATTAATCTATACATAACAGCATTAGTGCTAATGATTTTGGTACTAAGAATCCAAAGAGTTGCCATGTTGGATCAACCCCATGTCCCATTAGTTCACTACTCTGGCAGTATGTAGTCTCCAAGAAACTCAGAATGGGAGGATGCGATTAGCCTCCCCAAATATTAGTGCCAAGAAAATTATTAATGTTGCATATGTGTAAGACAGGTAATAGGGGTGTTTTTCTTTCTTGTCAAAAATATGATCTCTTTGGTTGAGCTTGATAATAATGGGATAAAGGGAGGTCACCTTGCAAGGAAGAGAATCCAGAACAGCTCTTTTTCTATCCAGAACTGTCTGAACATCAGGGAGATACCTGTAGAGAAGAGACAGCCCCTGCCCTCTACGTCCACACTGGGTTTAGAAGCATTAATAACTAGCTTAAAATTTCCCTTCTTTCTTCTTTTTAATTAATTCTTCTTGTCCCTTGTTAGACTTACTTTGTGGCTTTCAGGATGATTTGGCTATGAGGACCATATGTTTAGAACTTTAAAGTGGCTTGTCCTCTTTCTCCACCACTCTTTCTGCTTAACTGGAGCATGCTGCTATTAAAAAAGTGGCTAGTAGCAGAAACTACAGTCCATGTATGGTAATATTTTTCATGTTGGATACAGCTTTTCTAAAAAGCCAGCCTACTTTTGACTAGACATGCTTTTTAAAGGCTTTGTCTTCATTTTCTTCTTTTTAACATTTAATTTAAGGCCAATTACAAACTCATCTCCTACCTCTTTTATATGAGCTACCAATTCTCAGTGTCCTTTAGATGTAGAGAGTTTAATTGTAATGAAAGTTAATCAAGTACCCTTTGCAAGCTGCCCATGTGGGTATGTAATAAAGTGAGTCTTCCACCTGGGTGATTGCACCAGCTATTGACTTCTTAGATAGTGTTGAGGTATAAATAAATTAAATACTTGAGTTTTTTTCAGTCACTCACTGGTTCAGAAACTGCCCATATTTTCAGATTAATAATGGGCCTGTCTCTGGGTGGACTTGAACTCAGCCCTTATATATTTTTGTATAAGAACACATGTCATGGTTCCTAAAGGGCCTTATCTCTATAGATATTGAATGCAAGACAGACTACAGTTCCTACTTTTATTACCTGACTTATTGCTTGAATTTTCAGAGAATAAGTCATTTCCCTTTGCAAATATCTTTGTCAGCTAAAGTTTTTCTGAGAATAGAGGTAGGTATCCCTGAAAGGGGAAAAAAAAACAAAAAAAAAACAAAATCAATTTATTACTTTGTGCAAATTCTGG